AACCTTGGTATGATTTCTGGATCGATTACCTTCTGAGAGATTGCATCAAGAAATGCACATAGCTTCACAATGGCTAATCGAACGTTTTCAGTAGAAGCCCCCTCAATGCAACCGGAAGCAGTTGCGTCATAATCACGTGGCAGTCATGAGACTTTAGGTTCTGAAACTTTTTCTCTTCCATGTTTATTATTCCCTTTATATTCGACGAGAAGCCAGACGGTACCTTAATACTGAGCAGGCATTCAAAGAAGATTTTCTTCTCTTCTTTGGTAAGAGCATAGCTTGCATGACCCTGATGTATGCTGTCTTTTCCGTGCATACGTTGCTAGTCCTCCCGTGCCTCAGGTGTATCTTTTGTCTTCCCATACACGCCCAAGAAGGCAAGCAGGGTCACACAAAGATTCTTCGTCACGTGCATCACGTCGATTGTGGAGCGGACCTCTAGGTCTTTCCAATAGGGCAGGTCCCAAAATATAGATTTCTTCTTCCACATGGGTGCGCGTCCGTCAGCGTCATTCGGAACAGGTTGTCCACCAGGACCCTTTCCAAAGACCACCTTCAAATCCTTGACCATATCATGTACATCAGCACCAGTACGGTGGCGAGGCTTCGTCCGGTGATCAGCTTCACCTTTGAAATGCTTGCCTTTCTTTCTTACGGGATGCCTGCTCGGAAGAAATCGACGATGTCCCAGGTACACATTCTTCTTACAATTAGCCAAATATATACTGTCGGTATCGTCCAAACAGTGCGTGCATGCGCGGTATCCCTTGTTTGTCTATCCTTAAAGGTTACTGAGAGCAGGTCAATCATTGATGGTCAGGAACAGCAACGCCTTTAGGTCAAATTCTTCCCCCATGTGCTCATCCCACGCACGTACACATGTTCCATTTCACAGTTGTAAGAGTTCTTCAACTAATGGCCTTAGGTACACATCAATATCGTTGCCGGGTTGCTTAGGGCCTTGGATGAGCACTCGCATCATAATGAACTTCCGCTTCATGCACAATCAAGGAGGAAGGTTATACAAACATAGAGTCACAGGCCAGGTGCTATGGTTGCTGCTCTGCTCCCCAAAAGGATTAATGCCATCTGCGCTTAGACCAAACCATACGCTCCTTGCGTCATCTGCAAACTCCTTCCCATATTTTTTTCGATTTTTCTCCACTGCGACCCGTCAGCGGGTACTATCAACTTTCCGTATTTCTTACGGTCTTCTCTGTGCCATCGCATCGCCTTGGCATGCTCTTTGTTTTTGGAACAAACGTTTCAACCGTGGTATTATAGGAGCATACCACATCACCTTGGCAGGAATCTTCTTCCTGGGGCGCTCGCCCTCGACATCACCAGGGTCATCGCGGCTGATCTTATAGCGCAATGCACCACATACCGGGCAACCGTTCAAATCCTCGTACTCACCGCGGTAGAGGATGCAATCATTAGGGAATGCATGTATCTTCTGCACCTCTAACCCTAGAGGGCAGACAGCCTTCTTTGCTTCGTACGTACTCTCGGGCAATTCGTTGTCCTTTGAAAGCATATCCTTTATCATTACCAGCAACTTTCCAAATCCCTTGTCAGATACACCATTCTCTGCCTTCCATTGCAGCAATTCCAGTGTGGTGCCCAGCTTTTTCTTGTCACCTACGCAATTCGGGTACAACAACTTTTTGTGATCCTCTAACATGCGCTGCAACTTCTTCTTCTCCAAATCACTTGCGCGGTTTCTCTTTGCATCGGCAATGGCCCAACCTAGATCATCAACGGGCTCATCTGATGCCTCTTCTTCAGCTTCTTCCCGCATTGCCGGCTCAGCTTCTTCCCGCATTACCGGCTCAGCTTCTTCCCCATTGTTGTATCATCGTATTCAGGGAACCCATGGCCAGGATAGCTGTCGTCGTCCTCTTCTTCTTCATTGTCTTCCATCATAACCCCTCTTTCTCCGTGCTTGGTCCAAACATTATAGTGGGGCATGAAACCGGACTTAAACAGGTGGACGTGAATGGTTCTTGACGTAGAGTAATTGTGACCATTCTTACAGCCAGCACATGGACAAGGCATAAAACCATCCGCCCGCTTGTTTGCCTCAGTCGCAAGCAGAAAAGTATGCACGCCCTCAACGAACTAGAGAGAGCATCGGTCATCGTACATCCATTGCCGGCTCATCTTCATTACACAACACCGAATAGACCAAATTAATACAGGTTCATACATAAAGTTCATACATAAAGTTCATACAACACTTAAATGCAACAAACAAATAACTCTCTAGCTAAAGCATTTAAATGCAACAACAAATGCGATCAAGATCGCAACTAAGGTAACAATTGATCCAACAGCATAATGATACCAAGCCTCACTATCGATGGCATATTTTCTAATCCTTCTAATCTTCAAGCGCATTTTCTCCATCTTGATCTTGTGATCATCGACGACATCGGCAACATGCAACTCCAATTCCATCTTCTCCCCCTCAATTCTTTTCAATTTTTCTTTCAAGTACTCGTTTTCTCTTTCAACTAAATTTAACCTCTCGACAATAGGGTCGGTTGGAATTTCTGGTTCACATACCTCCTAAAAAAATTTCTATGTCAACATGATGGGCATAATTTGTCATAAACACGAAATGCAATTAGTTTTAAAAGAGAATATATATACCACATCCGAATCATAACAAGGACGAGGGCCGACGGGGACGGATATCAAAACCATGTCACTATATGTATAACAAACAACGTACGGGTAAGATAATTATACGGGTAACTATATATCCAAATGACACAAACATCAATTTTTATATAAAATTTCATGAACAAGAGGCTCACCACAAGGTGGTGCCGGCGACGGGACGGTGCGGGCGATTGACGGTGGTTACGACGGAGATTTAGAAGGCACTAAGTAAACCACACCTACATATGCAAACTAAGTGTTATTTTTGACCTCAAATTGCATATAAATCAAATACTAGCACATGGACAAGGCACTAAGTAAACTCACAAATTAATCACTATATAAAGCATTGCAAGAGCTAATCTAGCAATGAAAGATGAAAGGACAAAGTTGCTAACCTTTGTGATCATTTGAATGGATGGGGGCCTTCAAATCTTGACAAATTTTGGGCAAAATGTGTGATGAGCTCGAGAGGAAGAGGGGAAGAGCAGAGAGGAGAGGGGAAAGGGGAAGAACAGAGCGAGCTCGGGTGGACGAAGGGTTTATGTAGGACGACCTTTAGTACCGGTTCGTGCCAAGAACCGGTACTAAAGGGGCTGGAGGGGCCCCAGTCTGACAACATCCTGCCACCACTCTCATTAGTACCGGTTCGTGGCACGAACCGGTGCTAAAGATTCGCCACGAACCGGTACTAATGAAAGCGGCCCGGCTAGCCGTTGGAACCAGCACTAATATATACATTAGTGCCGGCTCAAATACAAACCGGCACTAGTGTACTTTACGTTTGACCCTTTTTCTACTAATGGGAGCCTACACAAGGAAGCCTACATCTTGCCTTTTGTCTAGACTACTCTACACACAACGCAAGCTCTTGAAATAGCCTCACGCACGCACACAGCCAGGCAAAGAACCTGGCCTGGTTTTGTGCCACTAAGCCACGCACCCACTAACCAACTGTGCATGCACACGCACATGCACACAACTAGCCAACTAACTCAACTGGCCACACATGACCCGACCGTGCATGTAGTTGAACGAACCCAAGATCAGAATTATACTAACAAACTCCCCCTAATTCTGAACCCGCCGTGCATTTCTTCCTCGGACTGATTCCACCCAACGCCACCGCGCGCCTCCGTCCGTCGCTGTAACGTGCCAACAGCTGATCATTGTCGGAGTTGGTGTAGCTCCTGTCATAGATGTCGCCGCCACAACCGTGACCCAACCCACGGACCTGACCTGGCGTCCGATGTCGGTCGCACCGTCACAGATCCTACCTGGCGCACCGACGCCGGTCGCACCGCCACGGATCCGACCTGGCGCACTGACGCCAGTCGCACCATGCTCCGTCACGACTCCGGCGACATACGCCGAGCACCTTCTCCGCCGTTGACACACGCCTGGCGTCCTTCCGTGCCTCGCACGTCCCGCGCGGACCTGATGCGCCCGACGAGCCTGACAGCAGCAGTGCGTCCGGCGCATCCCGCACGCACCCGACACGCCCGACGAGTCCGACCGCACCAAACACCGTGGACTCACCGCGCACCGCAGCCGATGCCTCCATGTTCGCCATGCTCGCCGCGGATTCACGCGCGCCACCTCCGTATCCGCCATGAAAGCCGCAGCGCCGCACACCTCCATAGGCCGACACACTGCCCGGAGCTGCGCGCAGCCGCCGGTGAACGCCGTCACCACCGGCACGCTTCCGGCACGGCGAACCCCGCCCATGACAACCAAACTCATGATACCAATTGTTGGCGCAAACCCGAAAACCATACGCACAGAGATAACCCAACTCAATCACGAACTCAGAGCAATTGCGACGAACGCCGCGGCGCGAACCGGCCTATATCTTGGCAATCTTTATTCACTGGGTTTGGCGCTCTACAGCTCGCACACACAAACTGCACACACACACACTAGCACCTTTGGCTACACACGCCAGGTGCCATGGAGCCTACACACGGAAGGCTACATCTTGCCTCTTGTCTAGACTACTCTACACACAACGCAAGCTCTTGAAATAGCCTCACGCACGCACACAGCCGGGGCAACAAACCTGGCCTGGTTTTGTGCCACTAACCCACGCACCCACTAACCAACTGTGCATGCACAAGCACATGCACACAACTAGCCAACTAACTCAACCGGCCACACATGACCCGGCTGTACATGTAGTTGAACCAACCCAAGATCAGAATTATACTAACAATGGCGACGGCGGTGGCTATATTCCTTGATCGTGTGGGTGACAAGGGGTGTAGCGGTGGGTTGCTAGGGCTCCTTCGTACGTGGCGGCAAGGGGCATAGCCATCGGCGGCTCGCCTACGATGGAGACCATGAAGCGTTCCAGGGGCCCTGAGCCCGACTGCCCATCGGCCGCAGCCACTCCAGGAGAGCTTCAAGGAGGGGGCGACAACCTCACCGCAGGTGCCGCAGTAGATGGTGCAGCGCAGAGGATTGAGGTAGCAGCGTCCGGGGAGGGTGGCAGCACCGCCGACCTGGGCAGCAGGCTGGCCATGGGGGTGCGTGGGGACGAAGCCGCAGCAGGGGACGGCGAGCCCGGCTGGGATGGCTCGGGCAGTCGGGCGTCACAACCAACACGGGAGGCGCAGAGATGCGCAGGGTCATCAGGCCGAGACCCAGCCCCACCGCATCGTTCCAGGCTTCGTTCCGAGCAGGGGAGTCCTGGACAGCGGGAGCCGGTGTTGGCGACGAAGATGGCGGGCTCGGGAAGTGGATGCCAGGATATGCAGGTGTCGATCCACGCACATGTTGCCGGTTCCCAGCATGCAAAGCGGATGCACAGATGATGAGCGACAACACAAGGACAAAAGGTAGTTTATTTTGAGCACTAGATTAGTCCTGATTTATCCTTCTCAAACTAATCATCTTTCCCGGTGTACCACTCTTCTTTAATTGCTTCGACAAAACCGCATGCTTTAGCCCATTATGGTTTTGGGACTGTGTTAATCAGTGAGGTCCATCTCACCAATTCCAATAAATAATGAGATCAGGTTATGTACTCATTATTTACCTATATATTGCATTAATACAAATTATTAGTTCATAAGATTATCTTGTGTTTCTAGTGTTGTGATTTTTTTTGTCATTTGTCAATTTTCTATCAAGTTTTGATCATGCGAATGCAATGAATAGACAAAAAAAAAGGGTATGTTCACACCATGGCATCTCCAATAGACCAGACCCTAATTTTTTGTACAACATAGCCGTCGCATATGAGACTTAGTGTGCCCCTCCCTCCCTATGTCGAAATCCTGGCTCCATCCCTGGGTGTAGCCATGTAGCATGCCTCAACTACAAGGCGGTTTCTTTCTACTGCAAGAGCCTCAACTAGCTGCAGGTTGAGCGGCATGCTTGGAGTCCGGCAAAATCTATCGTGAAAGATAAGATAGACCTTGGATCGTGCGGGGTCACTAGTGGTGATTCGCCAAGTAGAGACACTGCCACGGGCACCACGACCGCCACATCCAATTAAGGGAAGGGTGGAGGGGCCAAAGCTGCTTGATCTTGCCCAAGTTACTGACGCCCCCTATTCCCACATGATTTTTCAACTCCTTTGTTCTTTTATTTTGCAAATCTTTTTCCATTGTTTTATGTGATGTAGTAATTAAGCTAGGTAATAGCTAACAAGCAAGAACAAAGTGAACCGATGTAACGTGCTATTTACTCTAGTGAAGTTGGAGCCTTATTTATAAGGTAAAATTATTATTATTGCAAGTGAAGTCGTGGGACTCTGGGACCACCTGTTTATTTTCATGTGTTCCATGCCCATGAGCTACAACACGCATGTTAAAATTGCACCAGCTAGTTCGCCTTGAAAGCTTGAGCTAATGCCAAAAAGTTGGCTATGCTGAGTAATTTCTACTTCAATCAGTTGCTCAAACTGGTGCAGGTTACCGGTGAACCATAAAAATAAAATGTCAGCATTTCTATTTCAGCTGCTTTGCCTCCTCAAGTCTTCACTCTTTGAACATGATTTCATTATAACATCGTTCAATATCAATATGCAAATCAAGAAACAAACTATTGTGCTAATGGGATCTATTGTCAAGTGAAGCACACATATAACTCATAATCATAATCCATTTTTTCTTGTACATGTTCTGCTAATTACAGCGAGCATATGCAGTTCCCATGAACTAATTATCATCCCCTCCTTCATTGGTGGCTGGTGGCGATCGATTTTGTCATGGTATATATGATGTTCACCACATCCTTCCCCTAGTCATCTGACAGACCAACTTCCCTTGGTCATCCATCCCAGGCCACCGCTGGCTAGATGCCTCGGTCTTTGTGTTCTTCAACTTAAGATTTGGTCATTTCTTGGCTTGATCCGGCATGCCTGCCATTGGATATAATGCTCCATCACCCACTAGTTAACCATGGTCGCTACTAGTCAGTGGCCTCATTGTAGTGTACGGTGCTCCCCTTCCTTGGCATCCTCGGCCAGATTCAGGCTCCCACCATCGCAGCTGGCACTCCTCCTACCCCTTGATTGTGATCTGTAATGCCCTCCTCCAGTCACCTCGTCCTTTTGGAGTTGACTGGTATGGTTGCTATTTTGGCCATTTTGGACATGCATGGTCCTCTTACCGAACCTTGGCTAGGTTGATCTCCGCCCTCTGGATCATCATTCCCCTTCTATGGATGCCTAGATCATGTACACAATGGTGCGAATACTTGGTGGGCTATGCGACATTCCTATGGTCGTCCTCACCCCTGCACTAGAGCAATGCTCATCATGATTTTACGCCATTCATCTTCATTTTGGGACCCATGCTAGTGCAAGTGGCTTTACTTTCGGTTGGTGGTTGATGCCATTATGGAGGGCTTGCGCTTTTACTTCCACGGTTGTTCCACTCAGATGTTGCAAGCTCTTTTGGTGCATGGCCAATGCTTGCATGCATGTTGGTGGGCCTTGCATGTTCTTGCTTGGGTTTCTAGTATTATGTCTGGGTAGTTAGTCGTTGCCCCTTGTGTCGTGCATCATTAGGTAATTTTAATTGTTGTTTAGGTTGTGTTATATCTTTCAGGACATACTATTTTTGGTATTGTATCAGTGCCTTGTTAGATATTGTGCTCTTCTTTCTATGTAATGGAAATACATGCAACTCTCCCGCGTGATCCAAAAAAGGGACCTAATTAACAAAGCAACATCTTTGAAAATCGAATGAATGGATGCTAAATATGGAGGAACTCCAACATATCATGCTTTTCAAATCAAGGGGGAGAGAAGTAGAATATCTGAGACTGACAGAGGTATTCCTTCAATATTTTGGCCTCCTCTTTTTTCCAGGTTGCTCCAGAGAACTGTCCTTTGGAGGAATAAAAAACATAGGGAGGAGAGCCCTCGTGGCACATGTAATATACAAGATATAAGGAACTTAAGTCTCAACCATGGAGTGTCAAATTTTGGAGTGGTTTGATCACAACGTATCTCAAACACTACCACCTAAGCCATAGTCCTCTATACTCCACATGCCGGTAGTATTAGCTTAGTACGAAATGAATAACCAAATGTATATAAGACCGGGTATGCAAGAATGGAAGACATCATGATCAAGACCAGTGGCTGTCAGATAGATGGGAGATCCCATTGGCGGTCCTAGGATCACATTAATTTGTATTGGCAATGCTTCGTAATGAATTGAATATGTAGTTTTATGTCTAGAATTCAAAAACTTGAAGAGCCTTCTAGCAAAGTTAGATGTCATTTTACATCACACCTTTGAGTGTGGCACCTCATCTAGGAGAGCCATTTTGTTTGAGAGGTCAAGGACAAAGCAAAGTTTCTTGACCCTGACATGAAGTAGGTCGTTGACTCCAAGAGACCCTAGCATGATTAACTTCATCAAGTGGTGTATGCGTAGAAAGGAAGGTTGGTCTAGCAATTTAAAAGTTGGTCATCTTCACTCGATAATACTTCAGATTTAAGCGCCATGAGAAGAAGCTAATAGAAATGTCACATGGAACCTCGCAATTGACCTTGTCCATGTGTGACATTGTTCATATTCAGAGCACATGCTTAGAAGTTCATATTTCTGTTTGGCTTGATCATCAATAAACAGGTGTGAATGCTTAAGTTAGTACTACTTCTACTACAAGTTGTATTCGTTTCATCGATATTGGATTAGTCAGTTAGAAGTTAGTCATGAGATGCATCACCTAATTCACTTTGTCTCTAACTCACTCTTTTATGTTGGTGCTGCCAGCCGATTGTATTAATTTATTACTCGTGTACAACATCACTGAAGTGGTTGATCTCCTCTCGCACACCATGTTTTGTATGGAGCAAACTAGAAACTTTCGACCATGAAGAACTAATCATGTAGCCAATTTTTGTGTGTCAATTTGACCTTTCGAGATGACTCGGCTAAAATATACATTTTACAACAAGAGTGAAATGCATTTTTAATCCTCAACAATGTACCGATAGTAATTCATGATCATGGAATTTACCACCTGAGAATAAATGAATGCTCCACCAACTGTCCATGAGTAATGATTTTCTCTTATTATGCCACTTTGTATCACACCCTATTCTCTCAATTTTATGACAAGATGGAAGAATACAGACATATGAAAGAACATATGAGAGAAGAACGAACAGATGTGAAAAAATACACGAAAATGAGGATATTAGTAAGAGGGGTGAGGGTAGCGTGAATGAGAAGATAGACCATGGAGCGTAAGGGGTCATTGGTGACAAGTCACCAAGTAGAGGCATTGTCACGGGCACCACGGCTGGCATGGCCAATTGTGAGAATGGTGAAGGGGGCAGAGCTGTTTGGTCTTGCCCATGTTACTGACGCCTCCAATTCACACGTGATTTTCAACTCCTTTGTTCTTTTCTTGCATCCTTTTCATTGTTTCATGTGATGTACTAAGCTAGGTGATACCTAACAAGCTAGAACAAAGTGAAACGATGTAACAATGATACCTACTGTAGTGAAGCTGGAGCCATATTTATAAGGTAAAAATGTTATTAATGCAAGTGAAGTCGGGAGAGCAGGGTTTTAAATAGTGGGGATATTGAAGCTATTGTGGTAGCGCCAATCTAGCACATTTTTTCGTAGCAATAGAAAATAGTGTGTTTGTCATGATGTAGCTGGAATAGCAGTTGTCACACTGCAATAGCGAAGATGTTACACCACTATTTGTTCCCAATTAACCTTTTCTAATAAATGCCTAAGGAATTATATAAGTGCTTGATTACTTATTATCACGCTTAAATACTTATACTATAAATGATGTCCACTTATAGTTATATGCTTATATAATGATATAAATGGTGAAGTTACAAATCCAAATGCATGATTGCTCAAGGCAAATGACATTTTTGTTGTTAATGATCTAGAAATATATACAAATTCTTAAAATTATAAGTGCTTTTGCAAATCCGCTACATGGACATAGCGCCCACAATATTACCCTAACCAAAATCCACTACGCCAACCCCAATCCGCTATCAGCGCACTATCCACTATTGGAAACCTTGCGGGGGTGCACTTATTTTTTTCATGTGTTAAATGCCCATGAGCTACCATGTTAAATTGTGCGAGCTTGTTCTCCTTGAAAGCTCGAGCTAATGACAAGAAGTTGGCTATGCTGAGCAATTTCTACATCACTCCATTGTTCAAACTAGCACGAGTTACCAGGGAACTAGAAAAATCAAGATGTCTATATTTGTATTTCAGTTGTTTTGCCTCCTCAAGTCTTCACTCTTTCTACATGATTTCATTATACCATCGTTAAGAATCCACATGGAAAACACAAACTATTGTGTTAG